CTTAAATATTTAAGACTAGCTCCTAGTTCCAATCAAATACATGAATATATTTTCGTTTAATTTACTAACAAAATATCATAGTTTTGAAAAGATTTACTGGAAAATAACATTATTCTAAGAGGAGGGGAGCATGATGGCTCAGTGGTTAAAGAAGCTGAACTTGTCAGAGGGAAAGCTGACAGCCTGGATTTGAGACCTGAGTGTTGTGCAACGGGTTGAACTCCCATTACTTGCCCCAGCTCCTGCCCACCTAGCAGTTCAAAACATGCAAATGCAAGTAGATCAATAGGTATCAGTTCAGTGGGAAGGTAACAGCATTCCGTGCACCTCACCATATAGTCATGCTGGCCAAACGAACTCAGAAATGTCTTCATGTCTTCTAATATATATATATTAGTGTTGAGACTGCTACTTACTTTTACAGAATAAGCAAGGGAGATGGTAACTGCCAGTGGAAGTCCTTCTGGAACAGCAACTACAAGCACAGTCACACCAATAATGAAGAACTTGACAAAATACTGAACATATACAGGTGTGCATTCAGGCAGCCATGGCTTTTTCTTGACAACGAAGTTTTCAATACTAAAGTATAGTACTAAAATGATGACAGTAATTGCTGACATTACCAAACCTGGAAGAGACAAACATATTTTTTATTGTAAAAGCAATTTTTTGTGTAATGTAACAATCGTATTTTCAAAAATAAAATCTGCTCATTTATATATTACATCAGAATAGAACCTTCCTAGTCTAAGACATAGGAATGACAAAGATGCCCAGAGCCATTTTGTTACAACATGGGCAAACAAACAACAAATAAATGATGTCAGATTGGATAAATCCAAGTAATTTACTAGCCGTTCTTTGGGACATCAGAAGACACCACAGTTTAAGCCTTTAGTCTAAAATAGTTCCATCAATGCTATAATGCTTTTCTCTTATTCTTGGAGAGACATTTTATATTAAAAGGAAATGGGGAAAAGAAAGAGAAGGTTCTAGAGCAGGGCTGTCAAACTCACGTCCCACAGGCCAGATGGGTCACGCGCTGGCCACACCACACATAGTTTAGTGAAGTGGGGGGGGGAGTTGCAATATGTCACATGACAATGTTGTGACATTAGTTTTACACTCCTGTTCTACAGAAAGGATTATGGGAAGGGTTATAAATACCTATAAAATGGAGGAAAAATTAATGCAAGAAATATGAATTTAGTTATGCAACTGATTTCAGATGCCAGAGGTTTCTAGGGTTAAGGATGAAGATTGAAATAGCCATCAGGAACTTCAATGTAAGGAAAATTACTAGAAAAGAAGATGAGGAATTTCCCTTCTTTGAATTTCCTTCAATAACCTGGAATTTGAGGCACAGCTTTCAAAAACAGTGAGTTTTTGTGTGTGATCCAATTCCAACATTCTTAATAATGTGATAATGTTAGTAATAATGGTTTTTATCTACTCATTATCAGATTGTTAACCTTCTTACAACACCTTCTGTCTTTGTAGTTTAATGATACACACTTTTTTCAACAAAGCATGTAATTAGCTTGCATATTTATATTCAAAGTGACATGCAAACTGCTAAATTTAAACCAAATTACTCTAGTCATTTCAAGTTTTGACCATGAAAAGTGAAAGATGAAATATGAGTTAATTTGTAGAAATAAAAAGAACACTGTTAGATATACATATCTATGGGTCACTGAAATGTCATAACATCAGCAAAAATATAGGAATAAAGATTTATTACAACTATCATAGTTGTAATAAGAAATTTTAAAGTCTCTTCCACTATATATACTTGGTACAGTGTCTCCTTAAAAGTGCATAATACCCAAGTTTAAGAACACTGATATATTCAATATACAATTGGAAAAAAATGCTATGCTCATATCAAATGGTATATAGATGTCTTCATGCTGCCTTCAAGATTTTTATTATTTCTTTGCACTGAGTTTCATTTTATAGTGTGAGTTGTTTCATATTTGAACTGCTTTTAATTTGAAACAACCTGTTTTGAACAGAAAAAGGATATTTCAAATTTGGGACATGTTGCAAATCCCTGCTATGGCCAATTGCTAATTTGACCCATTTTTGTGCAATAATAAAAAATAAAATGTTTATAATTATAATTGCACATTCCAGATGCAATGGGGAAGAGAAGAAATATTTTTTCTCTTGTGGATAGTAAGAATAGTTTTGTTGTAAATTGTGGTTTGATGATGATTAATAAATCAAAGTTGTTTGAATGTACACATCATGATACTTACAAACCATATTTATTCTTTATGTATCAATCTAAAACCAAACAAATATACTTTGATTTAGCAGCGCATGTGAACTAATAGTATGTTAGATAGTTGATGATTTGCTCTCTCAAATTTTCTAGGACAGTTTTAACATCAAAACTCAGAACACTACTCTAATACAGTTTTCCACTTATGTACAGTATCCATGTGCATCTTACCTGCTTTGCCTATTTGGACAGCCAATTTAGTTAGCTTTCCTTGGAGGACAGATTTCTCTTTCTTAGGCATGTTGGCTTTCCTCTTGTCTTTATCATCTCTCTCTCCACCTTCAGCACTCTTGAGTGGCTGCATCTCCATTGCAGCTGCCCCATCCTGCTGTTTGGCTTAAATACAAAGCAGTATTTGGGGGGATTATAAATTCCTTTAAAAAGCTAAGAATCAGGATTATAATTTTAATAGGATTATAAATAACCATTACTGATTCTTCATACTATAAAGAACTTTGAATATAAGATCTTTTGCTACTTTAACTTCAGCCTGGACAATTAATCTATGCAGTTAATCTATGCATTCAGCTGCAGACTGAGTAATCATACATTATTAAATAAAAATATACTTTTACTACTTTTTACAATAATTGTGTATATTTACAATTGCATACTCATAAATCTACCATTTCTCCAACAGTGCTATAGTGTTTCATGGTATGTTTTGAATTTATACAGTGTTTCTATATGAATTAAAAAGAATTTAACATTTTTAGTTTATATAGTTTTTTAATTTATTATGATTCTAAGCTGCCCAGAGTTATCTTGAGGAAAGATCAGCAACCTATAAATTCTACAAATAATAAAATAAAATTTTTCTCCATGACAGTCAGAAAGTGGACTGAATCTATGGCATATATAAAAAGGTCTATGAAGAAGGTTTTTTCTTTGGTTTAAAAAGTATAATTTAGACATAGTATATTAAATGCATGTTTATAGATCATAGATTTTGAACAGACAGATGATAAAGGAAATACTGTCACATACTTGCTGAAAAATTTAGGAAACTGAATATATGCAATCCGGTCTTTCAATTCCAGGCTGTATGCATGCATGCGCATGTTTATGATTGTGTGTCAGTAACGGTATCCTATTATCTTCACTACCGGTTCGGTAGCGGGAGTCCACGCATCCATGTGCTCGCTTCACTCGCTACACACACTGAAGGTGTGTGTAGCATCAGGAAAGACTGACAGTTTGTGAATACTTGGTATTTACCCCAGCCCCAACTCCCAATTTGAACCTCACTAATATTCTGCTCTCTAAAGTAATTTTAACAATCTCCCTTCATATAAAGAACATTACCTTTATTCTGGCTGTTTTCCATATTCCCATCCTGCATTTTGCCTACATGATGAAAATTGTAGCAGACAAAAAAAAAATCAACAAACAAACAAAAAACAAAACACACAATAAACAATCAGTACACAGAAAGAGCATGAGAAGGACAAAATTTAAATTTAAAAAGCAATAAAAAGTATGATCATGTTTTAAATAAAATGTAATGCCCATTGAGTTATTTATATGCACAAATGATCTTCCTGGACAAAATTTTGCAACTACATTAATACATTTGCCACTGAAGACTTCCCCATCAATTATGTATTAATAACAGTCATACATATTTTAAGGCAGTATGGGTTGTACAACTCAGCACCTAAATTAATCATTCCAAAGTATCCAAAGAGGTGTTTTTCAACAGCAGCGGGGGAAGGGGGAAGCAAAGGGCAATAAACCAATGAAAGCAGCATCATGACGCAAACTCCCATAATGCCCCAAAGAAGCATATTCGCACTTCTGTCATTCTGACCAAGTACTGAGATCTTATGGGTGCCATTTTTCAAATGTTTCACACTGGTAGT